GCACTGGCTGCAGCAACACCTCGGCCGCATCGCACTTTCCAAGAGTTTACTGCTAGTACTTATGATCCAACTTAGCCCGATGTATGCCTCTTTTGTCAACGCACTACGCCAAGACATGGATGAAGTTGCCCTTAGGCCTTTGGTATTTGACCTTCATCAATGAGAGAGACCGGTTACATCAAGCATGATCGTAGACATACCAAGTATTACTAACACGTCTCTCAGATGAGGTGGATTTTTTTTCAATATGATTCAGAGACAGAACTACGAAGAAGAGTTAGCAGGGGGAGGCAGTAGCGTTATTTCAAGAGGCTGGGAATGCTCCGGGGGTCCCATTTGCTTTTCTACGCATTACCCGCTTGACGATAACTGTTTGGTATTTTCGACAACCCGGTGCCCAGGCCAACTGCGTCATCGATATTTCTATTTCGGCCTATTCGGGGTCGAAATTTCTAGGGAAGCCAATATAGAATTGTTTTTCCATATTCTAAATGCGGTTGTAGTCAAATTATTAAAATAAAGGTTTAGAAAATAAATTTACTTAAGTGGATATGGCCCGTTATTCCACATATTTGGTCTGAGTTGATTGGACCAGTCTAAACTCACCCAACTACTTTATAGACGACGAAGCTGCTGAGGCGGGACTAGATCTCGAGGGAGAAGACGGCGGCGACAACGATTCTGAGGACGCCCGATGGAATGGCGAACAGATAGAAGACGAAGACGAGGACCTTGATAATGACTACTGTGAGACCTACTTCGACAATGGGGAGGGCGATATCGATGATGGTAACGTTCTCCGAGACGACAATGGTGAAGGTGGTGAGGGCTACTACGACTGATGAAGCCACCCTTACTTGGCTTTTGTAAATTTATAACAGTTGACCTACCTCCCCTATCTTCCTACTGTAAATATACCACTTGAAACATGCCGACTTTAAAACTCTTGAATGTGCACGACACCGTGGGACCTCGAGCAAACCTTGCTTACTCGGTGTTCCTGTGCATAGCATCCTGCGTCAGATCCTCTCCAGTTTCGGTTATCGTCTGTGGGCATTCTTAAGTAGACAACTGCCGCTGCCATGACAGTCTGAACAC